AAAACGTTAACTAAAATTAAAATGAAAACTGAAAATATAAAAGTAAAATTTAATTCAAAATATTAACAAGTTGCCAAGGCAGCAATTCTCATTTTCATTTAGTTTATCTTTTAGTAAAATAACTAAAACGGAAATAAAATGAATAAAAACTGTGTAGACATATTTAAAAACAACATAAATAGTAAAAACACACAAAAAATTAGTAAAACGTTAACTAAAATTAAAATGAAAACGGAAAATATAAAAGTAAAATTTCATTCAAAATATTAACAAAAATTGTAGTAGTATATCAATGATACTAAAATAACTCAGTAATTTAACTAAAGAGTATTTAAAGAGACAGTTCACCCCAAAATTAATGTTGTCATCATTTACTCACCAAAACCATAATTCATCTTCAAAACATGAAGTTTAATGAAACCTGGGGTTTTCTAACTCTCCATTAAACAAGTCTTAAAAGTTCATATGAATCAAGCAGTTTGATCCTTGTCTTGTGAAGTGATTTGATTACTTTATATGATGAACAGATTTTTTTAGGCATACTAAAATCTCTGATCGTATCTCATCAAAAGCCTTGGATTAAACGCTCGGTTCATATGGATTTGACCTTTTGTGGAGACATAAACCTCTCAGATTCTTTATAAATATCTTAATGTGTGTTTTGAAGATAAATCATGGGTTTAGTGAGTAAATGATGACAGAATATTACATTTTGAGTGAACTGTCCCTTTATATACTCAACATTTTTTACTTACTGATAATCATTTATTGTAACGGATGTGAACGCTTGACTTGTAGTGCAAAAGTAGGATCATTTGTTTGCATGCATCTACATCTTACACGGATGTTTGCAGCACTTTCTTGTACAAAACATCAAGACTACCATAATAAACGCCTCTGGCCCGTGTGCAGGTCTTCCTCCCTCTGGCAGCTGGCAGGATCTGAAGGACCACATGCGGGAGGCTGGAGACGTGTGTTTCGCTGACGTGCAGCGTGACGGCGAGGGTGTGGTCGAGTTCCTCAGACGTGAGGATATGGAGTACGCACTGAGACGCCTGGACAGCACAGAGTTCAGATCTCACCAGGTCAGGGTCCTGGGGAACCACTTCAGTTCATTAAACAGAAAATTCAGACAAATTCAGTTCATCCCTCTGGGTTTTTTTTTTTTTTTTTTTTTTTTACATTTTCTGGGCTGGTAGATGCACGGGGGACCCGGTTATATCACTTAAACACAGTTTAAAGTTTCACTGTTTTTACGAGCTTGGTTTTTCACAGTATGATTTTTTTTCTTTTTTACACACAAACACACACTCCACCATTGCTTGTACTCCGGTTTTTAATCTAATAAAATCATTTTAAACTTCCTAATATTTATAAGACGGCAAAACTGTTAGACTAGCAATGTAATGTTACTGGTCAGGGCATCACTCTTTGCATGCATATACTAGATTTTTGTTTCCGTTTCTTTTGGATCATCCATCTTCATAGTTTCCACTAGGAAAAAAAGGGCTAAGCGTTGTCTAGTTATATATTGCCTGACAGCTCTGCTCTCTATCAATGAAATCAAAAAAAATTAATTTGCCTTGCCTAAAACTGTTTATTGTTTAATCTCTAATTGCCCTTTATCTTCATCTCATGCATTAATGATTTTAATTCCTGTGGGAAGATACGTATTTATAAAGCGGATAGTTCCGGTGCTTGATTCTGATTGGCTGAGCCGCGTTCAAAGCTGTAGTAAATTACTCTACAAACATACACCTTTGTTTACTTCTGTGTTCCTAGGCAACCACTTTGTTGCAACTGTTTCTGAGGAGCTACATTGTTTGGTGGAAGAATACTGTTTTTATTAATATCATTACACTTTATTTGCTCTGTTTTATTTTGTGAAACCTTACTACGTATATGGAATAACCGTTTTATAAAA